AGTTCTTTTAATTGTGATGTTAGGGTGTTGATTTTAGATCTTTCCTGCTTTCCCTTGTGGGCACTTAGTGCAATAAATTTCCATCTACATACTGCTTTAAATGTGTCCCAGAGATTCTGGTATGTTGTATGTTTGTTCTCATTAGTTTCAAAGAACGTCTTTATTTCTACCTTCATTTTGTTATTTACCCAGTAGTGATTCAGGAGCAGGTTGTTCAGTTTCCATGTAGTTGTGCAGTTTTGAGTGAGTTTCTTAATCCTGAGTTCTAATTTAAGTGCACTGTGGTCTGAGAGACAGTTTGTTGTGATTTCTGTTCTTTTACATTTGCTGAGGAGTGCTTTACTTCCAACTATGTGGTCAGTTTTGTAGTAAGTGAGATGTGGTGCTGAGAAGAATGTATATTCTGTTGTTTTGGGGGTGAAGAATTCTGTAGATTTCTATTAGGTCTGCTTGATGCAGAACTGAGTTCAAGTCCTGGATATCCTTATTAACCTTCTGTCTCATTGATCTATTTAATATTGGCAGTGGGGTGTTCAATTCTCCCATTATTTTTATGTGGGCATCTAAGTCTCTTGGTAGGTCTCTAAGGACTTGCTTTATGAATCTGGGTGCTCCTGTATTGGGTGCATATATATTTAGGATTGTTAGCTCTTCTTTTTGAATTGATCTCTTTACCATTATGTAATGACCTTCTTTATCTCTTTTGATCTTTGTTGGTTTAAAGTCTGTTTTATCAGAGAGTAGGATTGCAACTCCTGCTTTGTTTTCCTTTCCATTTGCTTGGTAAATATTCTTCCATCCCTTTATTTTAAGCCTATGTGTGTCTTTGCACATGAGATGGGTCTCCTGAATAGAGCACATTGATGAGTCTTGACTCTTTATCCAATTTGACAGTCTGTGTCTTTTAATTGTGGCATTTAGCCCATTTACATTTAAGGTTAATATTGTTATGTGTGAATTTGATCCTGTCATTATGATGCTAGCTGGTTATTTTGCCCATTAGTTGATGCAGTTTCTTTATAGTGTCAATGGTCTTTATAATTTGGCATGTTTTTGCAGTGGCTGGTACTGGTTGTTCCTTTCCATGTTTAGTGCTTCCTTCAGGATCTCTTGTAAGGCAGGCCTAGTGGTGACAAAATCTCTCAGCATTTGCTTGTCTGTAAAGGGTTTTATTTCTCCTTCACTTATGAAGCTTAGTTTGGCTAGATATGAAATTCTGGGTTGAAAATTCTTTTCTTTAAGAAGTTTAATGTTGGTCCCCACTCTCTTCTGGCTTGTAGAGTTTCAAGGCAGGGGAGTGTATACAGTTACCTGGGAGAATTTTTAAAATATTTTTTTTCCCCAAGCCCAAACCCCAATCTTAGAGTTTATGACATGTATCTGGGTATGACTCTCAGTTTATAGTTTGAAAAAAGCTCTTGGGGTAGTTCTGAGAGGCACCCCTGGATAAGAGCCATTACTTTGGGGTGATGACTCTTAGAGTATGATCTGAAGTGTATGGCATCATGGAGCAAAATGGTTTGGAAAAAATAATTTTAAAAATCAAACCTAGGCTCAATGAGTCCTCTGCAACCATCAGACATCACACTTAGTTGCTGGCTGACTTTGGGCAAGTATTAAATAGGGATAATGATGATGGGAATGACAATCATGATGATGGTGATAAAGTAGCGTGGGTTTTTGTGAGGTTAAATTTAAAAGTGCCTATTGAAATGCCTGGCAACATAGTAAGTCCTAGACTTTCTCTCCCAAACCCCTACATGTGATAAGAAAAATAGATTAGTATTAGGATTGTTTCTACACTTTAAAGGAACATGTAAACTATAGCCCGTGCTGTATCAGAAGGACAGTGGGTACCATGTTGTGCTCTGGTTGTGAGTAGTTCATACTTCACATTCTCACTGCACTTGGGAGCTTGGTTTATATTGTGTCAACTCACACGTGTTTAGCTCTTATGTCACATTATAATTGCTCTCAGATAGTTTTGATGGACATATTGCCTACCTAGTCAGATGATAAACTACACAGAGTTAGGGGTACCGTCCATTAACTTTGAATCATCCATAGTTCCTGGTACAGGGTTCTGTAGATCAAACATTTCTATTCTTAGTGATAATAGCTTGAAATGAAACATTTACTCATTCTTCTTACTGGTTGAAGGGATAGAACGTGAATAAAACAGAGCTTAGGAGTTTTGGAGAATGTGATTACCAACTCAGATATCCAGCAAGATGTTTCTTAGCTGTTGTCTGGATGACAACATGATGATCCTGATTTATTATTGCTTTGCTTTAAATACCACTTAGGAGATAATAGTAATAAGTTATCTGTACTTACTGTTGACTCTGGTTTCCTATAAATCCCTTCACTATTCTTGGGTAATGTTATTGTCATACAAAAAATTGCAATATGTAAAACATGCATAGTTTCTATTTTATTCATAAGATCCATTAGGGCAAGAACCTTGCCTTAATAGTATTCATATTTCCTGTGCCTAGACTAGTGCCCGACACATTATAAGCACTTAGAATAAATTATGTTGGATGACTCTTCATACTTATACATAATGCTAAGTAAGGCTATAGGCCAGTAGTTCTTTGGGGTGCTGAAAGTGTGCTGGTTTTCAAAATAGAACATTAGTTTTTCTCAGACTTCTGAAAGTTTGTGGTCTTCTAGGCATTCTAGGTATTTGACCATAAATAATCTGTAATCATTTTATTTATGAAATTCACCAAATATCTTCTATATATATATATATATATTTTTTTTTTTGAGACAGAGTCTTCACTGTGTCACCCTGGCTGGAGTGTAGTGGCGTCATCTTGGCTCACTGCAACCTCCGCCTCCTGAGTTCAAGCAATTCTCATGCCTCAGCCTCCTAAGTAGCTGGGATTACAGGCACCCATCACCACACTTGGCTAATTTTTGTATTTTTAGTAGAGACAGGGTTTCACCATGTTGGCCAGGCTGGTCTTGAACTTCTGACCTCAAGAGATCCACTTGCCTTGGCCTCCTAAAGTGCTGGGATTACAGGCATGAACCACTACACCCAGCCTCCTATTTTGAAGTTTCTCTGAAATTTTACTGAAACAGTTAACTTACTTAGTTATAGAACAATTAAATTAGATGTAATATTTGATAATTCAAACAATGTACACATGCATATATTGATAAGTATATTTTAATAAAAAATGTTTTCACTGTGGAATATCCTAGAATTGTATCACATTAGAAAATTATTTAACCGACAAATGATTTTTTATTGTAGCAAAATTCAGTTAATATAAAATTTGCAATTTAAATAATGTCTTTCCCTAATGCCTGTAAAATTGCAAAATTGCAGAGTAACTTTTTTTTTTTTTTTTTTAAAACACAGGGTCTTACTCTGCTGCCCAGGCCTGAGTGCAGTGGCACAAACAGAGCTCACTGCAACCTTGACCTCCCGGTTTTAAGCCTCTGCTTCTCAAGTAGCCGGGACTACAGGCGCGTGGCACCATGCCCGGCTGTTTTTTATTTTTTATTTTTATTTTTGTAGAGATTAGGTCTCTCTATGTTGGTCAGGTTGGTCTTGGACTCCTGGGCTCAAATGATCCTCCTGCTTCAATCTTCCAAAGTGCTCAGGCTACAGGTGTAAGCCACTGTGCTCAGCTCAGATTAAGCATTTTTAAAGCATACAATTCATTGTCATTTAGGACATTCACATTGTTGTGCAACTATCACCACTATCTAGCTCCAGAACATTTTCATCACCCCAGATGGAAACAGGAGACATTAAGCAGCCACTCCCCATCCTCCCCTACCCACAGCTCCTGGAAACTACTAATCTGTTTTCTGTCTCTATAGATTTGCCTATTCTTGGATATTTTGTGTAAATGAGATCATACCATTTACAGTCACAAAGCCTTTTGTGACTGGCTTCTTTAACTTAACATGATGTTTTTAAGGTTCATGGATGCTGAGGCATATCTCAGGACTTCATTCTATTTTAAGGCTGAAAAATATTCTGTTGGATGGTTATACCATGTTTATTTGTTTGTTCATGGATTGATGGACATTTGTGTTTTTTCTATCTTTGGCTAGTAGAAAGTAGTGCTGCTGTGAACACTGGTGTACAAGCGTCTGCTTGACTCCCTGTTTTCAATTCTTTTGGGTATATACCTAGGAATGAAATTGCTGGGTCATATAGTATTTTATGTTTGACTTATTGAGGAATCACCAAAAGGCTGCACACTTTACATTCCCACCAGCAATGTATGAGAGTTCTGATTTCTCCTTTCTCCATATACTCATCAGCACTTACTGTTTTCTGTGTTTGTTTTTGTTTTTTTTTTAAATTATAGCCAATCTACAAATGATTTTAAACTTTGTTACAAATTCTTATCCCTCTGTGGGAGCATATTTATAACCCCGCATAGCGTATTTCTGGGACAGTTTTGATATTTGATCCACTTGCTCTCTGGGCAGAGGGAGTGTGATTTCTGTAATGCTAACTGTGCTCTCCAGCCGCCCGGCATTGTGTTGTTTGGGTGTCGGGGAGTGTCAGACTTGGAATGTTACTGTTGATTGCTGTGGACAGTTTTCATCTCTGAAGGGAAGATTTACAGGTTTGTGGCTAGAGTGAAGACTGTTCTTGGAGATATTTTTAACCACGTCCAAATAACTCCATGCCAACAAATATAAAATGAGTAATCATTCTTTTTGTTTTGATGTCAGAAAGAATACATTTGTAATAACTCCACTCTTTTTCTAAAAAGAAGTAGTGTCTTCTTCTGTCAGAAAATGATTTTAGACTGCAGTATTTGGCAAGTTTTAGAGTTTCACTGTCTATTTTGTGATAGTATAATAATGTTTTCTCCTTTGAAAGACAAATTTACACAGTAAGATATGTAAGAAGTTGAGTAAAGCAGCAATGTTTAAATACATTGTTATGTTCAGGTTTTAGATCCTGACCTGAATTTTAGAATAAATATACAAAAAAGGTGTTTTTTTTTTTTTTTTAGTTCATCTAGGGGTGATTGAGGCTACAAAATTTATGCCACGTTTTCAACTGTCAAGGCTGCTTTCAGAATCCAGAGGAGGCCTGTAAGTACAAAGATGCAGAGATGAATAAAGAAAGACAGTGGCCCATTCTTTCTGTTTTTTCACAGTCTCCCTTAGGGTGTGAGTTAGGTGCTTATGTGGTGCAATTAAAAAAAATTATTGATTGGTTGGGTGCGGTGGCTCACGCCTGTAATCCCAGCACTTTGGGGGGCCGAGGTGGGCGGATCACCTGAGGTCAGGAGTTCGAGACCAGCCTGACCAATATGATGAAACCCTGTCTCTACTAAAAATACAAAAATTAGCTGGGCATGGTGGCATGCACCTGTAATCCCTGCTACTCGGGAGGCTGAGACAGGAGAATCGCTTGAACCCGGGAGGCAGAGGTTGCAGTGAGCTGAGATGGAGCCATTGCACTCCAGCCTGGGCAACAAGAGTGAAACTCTGTCTCCAAAAAAAAAAAAAAGAAAAAATTATTGATTGATTAGGGATGTGGGTTAAATGGTAGGCTGGTAGGCCACTATTAACTTTCTCATGTACTTCCCCAAAGAAGCCCATGAGGTAGAAACACAAATGTATGGATATCATTTTAACACTATACTATACTATTTGGGAAATATTTTAGTTTTATTGGGAGGGAAACATTTATTAGTATCTCAAAAGATGCTAGTCTTCAAAGTACTCACCTACCTGCCACAGGAACCATTACATAAGAAAATTAACGAAAGACCTGTAGAGAATAAAAGGTAAAGAAAGACTATATCTAATAGTTTCTAGCATATAAACACAGGATTTTAGGTAGCATTATTGTACAATGACGTGCATAGTAGGCTTTCAAAAAGCATTTGTAGAATTAATGAGGGAAATGAATAATTCATTAATGAATAATGAAGAAAGAAAAAAATGGTATAAACTGAACTGAACTGAAATATTTAACTTAAAGGACCAAATAATCCAAAGAGGAATCTTTATTTGTTTCTGCTCCCAAAGAGCTTGTTTCGTATTTAGCTATAGTTCAACAATGTTTATTTAATGCCTTCTACATGCGAGGCACTGAGACGAGGTAAGAAGGTTAGATAGGGAATGAGAGGAATGTAAACAAAGATGTGTAGTAATAGAAGTACTTCAAAGGTCAGAGCAGACAGGAGGATGAAAGAGGAGGAAGACATTAACTCTGTCAAAGGTGGCATATTAGAAGAAATTAACGAAAGAATTGAGCTCAATTTTGAAGGTAAATGCTGGTTTATCAGGAAGACAATGGGCATGGAAATTCTGGGTAGCCAGAACAACATTGATAGTGACAAGAGGCAGTCAGATGCCTAGGCAGATAGAGGTGAGTCCCCAGCAAAATCCCACCTCCAAGTTGAAGACCATATAAAGCCTGGAAGCCAAGCTACAAGTTAAATCCTGGGACCAGATTGAGAACCTGTCTTCCCATTTGGTGTGCTTTCCTCTGATTGGTCTCTACCTTTTACCTATTATACATATACCTACCCTTTCCTAATTGGTTTTCTACACTGTGGTGCCCACCTTTGAGTGATGTCTTTGCTTTAAACTTTTTTGCATACTCACAAACCAATCAGCTGCACTCCCCATTCTGAGTCCATAAAAAGCCCCAGACCCAATCACACAGAGAAACCACCCGACTCGGGGGGTACCCTCCCCCAACCCCACATCCCTTCTTTTCTGAAAGCTGTTCTGTCACTCAGTAAAATCCTCTGCTCTCATCACCCTTCAGCCATCAGTGTGACGTCATTCTTCTTGGATGCTGGATAAGAGCTTAGGGCCCACTGAGCACAGGTACTCTGAAAAGCTGTAGCACTGGCCCTTGCCCTTGACAGCGGAGAGGAGCCTTGACAGCAGTCAGCGCGAGGGAGCAAGGGACCGACTGAGCTGCTAACATGCTGCTGTAAGGCTGCGGACAGTGGAACTAAAAGAGCTAATTATCACACTAACACCCACTCTGGGGCTTCAGGGTCATGGGCACACCTCCCTGGGCACTGCCCCATTCCCCTCGAGGTAACACGCCTGACTTGGCTGTGGGCCCTGCATGGAGCTTGCTCCTGTGTTGGTGGTCAGAGTGGCCTGCCAGGTTCCACTCTTGTTCGCTCATGTGCTCTCTCCTGCAAGGGGCTGAGCATGGCAGGCCGAGTAGAGGGGGCACCCCTGCTGCAAGTCCAGCAACGGGGCTGAAAAAAATCCTGCTTCGACATGGCTAAGATATCGAGGCATGAACCAATGGAGTGTGCTCAGGAAATACAAATAGTTTGGCACTGAAGGTTCTGAAACTGTAAGGTTTGAGGAGAAATAGGGAAATATGAGGCTGAAAAGATACTCCAGGCCTGTGTCATGGTGGCTTTGTATTCTATAATAAGGGCCTTGGGACTTATCTGGTAGTCACTGGAAAGCCATTCAATTGCTTTAAACAAAGGACTGACAACTGAGGTTTGGAATTCTTGTTGAGATTTTTTCTGAGGAGCAGTGTTTCTCCCAAGAGCACATACATTAAAATCTTCTGTTGTGCTTATTAAAAATTCAGAGCCCTGAACTCTATCCTGGTATAAACCAAAAATAAAATTCTAAGACCCTTGACCATCCCAGTGGACCCCTTCTCTTGGCAACGGCATTCCAAAGTTAAGTGGAAAAACTAGTTTTAGGCCATGATGGGAAGAGGGTGTTGGATCTCCTCCCTTTTGGAATTACCTAGAACAGACTTTTTAAGTCTGATAAGAAACATTTACAATCTATTCTCAAAGCCTGCTACTTGGAGGCTTCACCTGCATGATAAAACCTTGGTCTCCACAATTCCTTATCGTAACCTAGACAGTCCTAAGGCTTTAGACGATAACCTAACTGTTTCAGTCAATGCCAATCAGTAAGTATTTAAATCTGCCTATGACTTGGAGGCCCTTGCTTCCAGTTAGTTGTCCTGCCTTTCTGGACCAAATAGATGTACATCCTACATGTATTTGATAGATGTCTCATGTCTCCCTAAAATGTATAAAACTAAGCTATACCCCAACCACCTTGGGCACATGTTCTCAGGATCTCCTGAGGGTTGTGTCACAGGCCATTGGTCACTCATATTTGGCTCAGGATAAATCTCTTCAAATATTTTACAGAGTTTGACCCTTTTTGTCAACACTGGGTTTACTAAATCAGAATCCTGGTGGAAAACTTTGGAATCTGCATGTTTAACCTTCCAAGAGGATCCCCTTGCACCCTGCAGTTTTGAACACACTGCTCTTAGGGGTAGGGAGTTGAAAAGCTGGGGAAGACTGAATGCAGAGAGGTCATCTAGGAGGTGATATCATACTCCAAGTGAGAAAGTTTGAAGCAGTGTCAATGGGGATAGAAGATAGAATATGATAAGTTTGAGAAGTATTTTGGGGATAAAATCACATGTAGTTGGTGCTTGGATAGACTCAGTGAAGAAGAAAGTTTCAAGCCAGGTTTCTGTCTTAATTGGGTGGTGCATTAATAGTTATTATTAAAGTTTTAATAAGTTGTACTTTTCCTTTTATATATAATTTTAAAAATTTGATACATTCCTAAATTTGATTATTGTTTCCTTTCAGGGCCAAATTGTTTTGTTGTTGAATTTTATGGTAGAAATAAAATGAAAAAAATATGTCACTTCGTTAAGATCTGTTATAGTCAATTTGTCAGGAAAACATTTATTTATTTAGTTGTAGATCCCAAAGTACCTATTTGCCTCTATGAATAAAATGAATACATAGCTTTATTGCTGATATCTCTGGGAGAAATTATATTTGCAAAACTTAAAAGTCTAATTCAGCATACAACCAAAGTCATTGGAAGTATCAGCCAATGAGCTGGAGACGCAGCAAGGCTTAGTAGATGGATCTTTCAAGTCAGGCAAAACCCAACAAAATTGTTAAATATGTGCATATGTCTCTGTCACTGTCCCTTTTCCATCTCTTCCTTTCTGGTCCTGTCCTGAAGAAGAGACTCCTACATACTACTTGTGTATATTGTTGCTATTAATTCTTGTTAACTGATGTGCTGACAAATAAGAACCAAACGTAGAATTCTTTTGGGAATGTGGTGGATATTATAATGCCCACCCATTTCTGCACTTCCCTACATTTCTCAGACTCCTGCGCAGTTAGGTTGGCCGTGTGACTGATTTCTGGCTAATGGAATGTGGGTGGAAATGGTGTTCTCTACTTGTAGGCTGCTTGATCTTCCATGCTCTGAATCTAAAATATCCTGCATATCTACCATGCTCTCCTTATCTCATTCCTGGTCCTCTAAAATGACTCCAAACATCTGCATCAGAGTTTGCATGAACAAGAAATACTTTTATCATGTTAGTCTACTGAGATTCCAGCTTATTCTGTAACATAGCATTGCCAACTCTGATCAATGCATAGGGGTATTCCCAATTTTATGGGTGACTACTAACGGTATTTAAGTTAAAAATGGATGAAACTAGGCTGGGTGTGGTGGCTTGTGCCTGTAATCCCAGCACTTTGGGAGGCCGAGGTTGGTGGATCACAAGGTCAGGAGTTCAAGACCAGCCTGGCCAATATGGGGAAACCCGATTTCTGCTAAAAAAATAAAAATATTAGCCAGGTGTGGTGGTAAGGGCCTGTAGTCCCAGCTACTTGGGAGGCTGAGGCAGGAGAATTGCTTGAACTCGGGAGGTGGAGGTTACAGTGAGCTGAGATCGTGCCGTTGCACTCCAGCCTGGGTGACAGAGTGAGACTCTGTCTTAAAAAGAAAAAAAAAAGATGAAACTAATGATGGAATGATAGGCATTGAGGTGACTCTTTAGGGATAAAGGAGAACTCTTCTGGTACAGACTTAAGTTACATCATGAAGATACCCTCCTTGAGCCCTAAGACTGTTACTTGACATCAGAACTTACCTTTTACTTGCCTGGTCCTGCTCCCATCATGTTTTCAGTTTTTTTCTTTTTTTTTCTTACTTACAGAGTGGGGTGATTAATACCCATGTGATGGAATTATTGTGGAGATTAAAAGAGATGCCATATGTAAAATGTCTAGACCAGCGCCTAG